CTCAAATCTGAGAGATGCTTGATGGATTTTTTTAGTTTGGACCTCTACTCCTCTATGGCCTTGGGAATATCGGCAAGCTTCTGTTCCTCTTATGCTATTTCAGCTCTGTATCTTTCAAGTTCAGCTGTTAATTCTAATTCCCTGGTTCTAAGCCGATCTATATTGGTTTGAGTAAACCTTGGCCCAGCTTCCATCTCATCAAGTTTGGCTTTTTCTTCATTGATGGATAGTCAATTGGCTTGAATTGTGGCTTCTAACTCAGCTCTTTCGCGCCTATCTGCAATCCTTTGCCTTGTTCTTTCCAGCTTGAACCAATGTTGTTCTAAATATACAACTGGAGAGATAATGTCAGCTTGGACTTTAGGGATTTGGCTGTGGATTTCTTCAAATCTGGCCCTAATCGGCCCACAGTCAATAACTAGGGAATCTAAGGAGCTCTAGCCGATGGGCGATATCCAAGAGTTTAGCCTTGAGGTCATCGTTGAGAGGAACTAAGGCCTTGCTAGTGGTTTACTCTTCCTCTTCATCTATGAACTCCCTAATGTCAAAGGAAAACATATCGGCTAAGACCTGAAAAAGGATAAGTTAAGACTATTAGCAATGCAAACGTTGTAGCCGATATGTATAGATCTAAAAATAAACTTACAGGAACAGCGGGAGTTGGTTGTTCTGGTACTTCTATATGATGACTATCCCTAGCCGATGGAGTTCGCTCACTTGATTCATGTTGAGAAGGAGATGGAGAACGAGGAGGCTAAAAAAAGACAGAATAAATATAGCATCGGTTGATGAGAATACAAAGAAATAAATTGAGTTATGAGTTACTGGTGGAGGTGGTGCCGATGGTTTCTTCTTAGTGGCTATTTTCTTCTTCGGCAGAAAGAGTTTTTGTCAGAATCAGAGTATGATCTATAAATTGAATGAAAGCAATACTTAGAGAGAGACATACTAGAGTTTGACGAGTTCGGCGTCTTGGAGGACTTGGTGTGCTCTTAGGGCTCGGTGGATCAGCTAGTCGTTTGCACTGTTTCCCTTGCCTCACTTACGTCGGCAGCAGCATCATCAATGGCTTCTTCCATCTCTTCATGAGCCAAGAATTCTTCTACATCTGGGTCTATGGTTGAAAGATCATCAGCAGCAGCAGTCTTTTGTTTCTTTGTGGCTTTCTTTTTAGTAACAGGGGGTTTAGCAGCCGATGGTTGAGCAACTGATTGCCTGGTCCTTTTCCTTTTCCCAATATCAGTAGGGATTGGTTCACGAGGTTGACCATGAAGTACAGGAGTTGTCTTGGGGGCATTATAGTCGATAATGGAAGGAGCCAGCCCACCACCGTTTGGAAGAATCCCTACAACATAGTGGATGGGTTCCCCGCTCTGGCTAGCATGAGGAGGTGAAGAATATGTAGTCTGCAAGCGAGAGAAAAGGAAATTAAGTGTTGATAATAAATCGGTATCAGCTTAATAAAATATTTTTTGATAAAAGAAGAATGGTTACTTGTGGAACCAAGTCTGGGAGGATGGTAGTCAAGTATATTGAAGCCCATTGATGAAAAAGATGTTTTTTTTCCATTCAATCCACCATCGGTCAAAAGTAGGGATGGCAATTTCCCCCGTGGGGCCGGGGGAGATTTTCGACCCACGGGTGCATCGGGTACGGGGCCCCGCATTTGGGCGGGGAGGGGACGGGGGACTAATTTTACCCGCGGGGCCCCGAGGGGTACATATAAACCTCAAAGTATAGGTCAAAGAAAGCCAAAAAGCCCATGTAATAGCCAATGTAAACTTACAGCTAATTCCCTGGCTGAATTTTTATGATGATATTTTAAGTATTCATGCTATTTTTTATGGTGTGTTAATTATGTACAATATTTATTTTTGCTGAAATGATGATTATGTTGTATTTTTTGAGCTAATTGGATGGAGATGCTACCCAATGCGGGGCCCCGCAGGGGTCGGGGGCGGGTGATGTTTTCAACCCGCATCCATGGTCGGGGCCAGGGGGCAGGGGGTGAAGTCGGGGGTCGGGGTCAGGGGCGTTCCAGCCCAACCCGGCCCCGCCTCGCCCCGTTGCCATCCCTAGTCAAAAGTTGTACTCTTTATCAAGGCCAACTCAAAGTTATCAATGCTGCCTAGTGGGTGCCTTGGAATGTTTAGAAGTCTGTCCATCATAAGGGTTGATGTGATTTCTCCCCTAGTGATGCGGACATCACTAACTCGGATACACACAACAATCCTCCAACGGTCATTCAAGGACCGATATCAAGAGCTCGTGCGCGACAATTAAATTTAGAGGTGAGCTTGTTCCTATGTTCTTCTTTGTATGAATTCGAGAATAGATTGCTACCTAATGATTATATTGTGATTAGGAACAATGGAGGGGACAAGGAGACACTTGGAGAAGGACTTAGAGCCATGGATGATCATCGAGGACGTCCAAGTCAAGGTGGAGGGCCAAACCAAGTCGACGTTAGGTGCAATTCAGAGTCCAGGACCAGTCTGCACTAAAACGGGCGCCCAGGTCGCATACGTGCTCGGATTGGGGCGTTCTTTATATGTATGGAAAGCTAAGAAGATTCCAATGGTTTTGGTCCCATGTCCAAATTCTTTCCGAGTCAATGGGAATTGACCGAACAAGTTGACGTCCAGAATCTATTCCGATGCTGTGTCACTGTATTTGGACCTTTGGCCCGTGTATCGTGTTAGAAACCATTAGGGTTGCATCGAGAGGGGGTTGCACGACCCTAAACTCTATATATCAGTACCCGCCGCCATCTTTAGGTTTTTGGGTTTTGCTTAGATTAATATGTCGAGAACAGTTTCGCCGCTAGATCAGTTTGTAAGACCCCAACTCGTGAGTTTAATCATTCATCTGCAATTTTGGTTGTTTTCTATCTCGTTCTTGTTTGTGTTCTTCGATTGGCAAACAGGGATTAGCCTTCTCGGCGAGGTCATCCGTGCCTCAATACGGGTGATAACCAGAGGAGACGTGGCTCAAGAGCGTGCGCGTTCAAGAAGCCGGATCGATTTGTGTCGCGACTCCGCCCAAATCGTTGTTTATCAGAACCTTTCGGAAGATCGGGAACCCTAGTGCACATCACCTAGTTTGGATCTTGTCTACAAAGAACAAGCCGATGGGCAGTTGGCCTAATCCAAGTTGTCTAGCAGCACTCGTGGGATGATAAAAACTCATATGAGATCTAAGTATTTTTACCTTGGTGGATGCCGTGGATTGCTCAAATCTCTCATGGTTGATTTCTTCAAATCTGAAATCGGCTGGGAGTTCAAAGTCTGCGAAATGCTGATAGGCAAACCAAATTCTGGAATCCCTTGGAAATCTGATTTCCTTCATCATCTTCAATCGGCTTGTCAATAGATGGGAAACTTGCTTGATTCAATGCTGATCTTTGGAAAACCTTAACAGTGTGCAAGTTTAGCCATAGTTGTATGAACCACCAAGTGCCACCTGTGCTGATAATGTCACGCCCAGAAATTCATGAACCAGAATTTCTAAGATGAATGTGCATTAAAACCCCTGTCCAGGACCAGCCAAGGTACACAAATGACAATTGTTGACATACAGATCCACGTCTTACAAAAATATAAAAGATTACAAATGCAGCGAAAAAGGTAGAGGCAAACTAAACTTAAGAGCTTGGCTTCTGCAGTGGGGCGACTCCACTCCACAGGCATCCTCGACGGCAGCGACGAAACCAACCTCTCTGAGACAGCTCCAACTAGGAAGAATTTCAACTCTAGTGTACGGAAGAGAGAGCAAGACTGAGTACTACCCACTGTACTCAGCAAGTCATACCGGAAGAGGAGGTATGATGCAGAATATAACCAAAGGAGGCTAGGGGTTATTTGCACAAAGTAGGCATTTAAAAGCAGTAGTTGAAAGCAGTAAAACCATTACAGTAAATTAAGCAATATTAACCAATCACTGCTCAACGCTACACCACATTGAGGCAGGCCCAAACCACCACCTGAACTAACTAGTTCCATTAAGCTAAATTAGGGGTGAGACTAATTACGGTGAATCTGGTTGATCGCCCATAACCGCGGGCACGACTATTCGAATAGTTTTACTCTGGCCAGAGGTGTACAACTGTACCCACAAGACACGATTCCGCACATGTCGCCATGCCCCAAAGTATCACCATGATATTGCAAAGGGGGAAATCGTGACAAGACCCTTCGCATAACCCTCCCCTAACCATCCACACCACGCTAAGGTTTCACCCCCACCCCTCAACAAGCAGTGGGCAATCCCCTCATGCGCCACAGTGAACCCGACAGCTGGACAACCGGACACCCCGGTCGACCCAACTCCATTACGCCCATCCTCGCCGCCAGTGCCTAGGAAAGGGTCGAGCTATACTACAAGTCAAGCAGTTACCCGCTTCCGCTTGTGGTAAGCATGGTAAGTCTCCTAGGGTTTTCCGTGAACCGGCCCTTAATTGTCATGGGTGCGACCAACAAAACCATACACCCACAACCCTCCATTCAGTGTATTTTAATTAACTAACACCATTGCGGTGGCACCAATCTAAGTCATACCAAAAGCTAATGTCTATACATTAATGTGATTTCCCATTTCTACCCTATAGTTCAACAAATCACCTTTCCCTCATTCTAGATTCTAGGCTTGGGGGGATCGAACCCTACCGGCGTGGCTGGTTTTACTCATTCATCATTCAATCATGTCACGTATCCAAGGATCCAAATCCTGACTTAGGGCCTGTTTGGTACAACTCCAACTCCTAAATATAACTCCAGGAGTTGAGTCTGGAGTGGAGTTGTGAAGCTGCCTAAACCCAGCTCCACAACTCTAGTACATTTTGTGAGAGAGCTCCACCCAACTCTACTCCCAGTTTTGGTGGAGCTGAAACTGTTTGGCTGAGCTCCAGCTCCAGGAGGGGTGGAGCTGGAGCTGGAGCTGTGCCAAATAGGGCCTTAGATCCGACGGCTCCCTCCCATCCCTCTCTCGCCGAAAACAGTGCCGATCCCCTCCCCTCCCCTCTCTGCGATCCCCTCGCCTTCCCGCTCCTATCCTCTCTCGCAGAAAAAACATCCCATCCCTAAAATAACGCCGTCCGCGCTCATCGCTCTCCATCGCGTCGCCATTGTCCCCTTCGTCAGCCTCCCCCTCGCCATCCATCCGCCCCCCAGGTCCCCTCAACCCTAACCGCGCTGCCTCAACCGGTCGCCGCCGCCGCCTCACCCTGTGCCCTCGCCAGATCGATTCCGCGATGCCCTGCCTCCTTGCCTTGCTCGCCTTGGAGCATCTCGCGCTGGATCCCGCAGGTCGCGCCCCTATTCACGGCCACCGTGGACCGATCTGCGACTGACGATTGCGATTTGTTTTTTTTTATGCGTCGGACTCGTGAATTTTGTACGGGTGACCCAATTTCGGTGTCTGATGTTATTCCCCTTTGCATCTTTTAGGAAATTTTGTGGAATGCTAATGACCACCGCAATCAGCAAGGAGGCAATCGCCCAGGTTTCTCCCTTCTACGATTCCCTTCTGATGTTACCTTCGTAATCTTGGCATGTGGAATTTTTTAACACGTCCTAGGGATTGATGACAGAGTGTACATAACATGAGTCATGTTTTGGGCTTTGATCAGATATTCCCTGTATTAAGAAATCGTGCATTCTTACTTTGGGATTTGTTCCGTCGGGTTGTTTAACATTGCAGTGCTTCTTTGTGGATTCCTTCCTTTAATCTGAACAAAAAGGACTCAGAGCTGCTATGTTGAGTTCATCAGAGGTATATGTATGGCAAACTCCACTCTCTATATTTCTCTAATCATTTTCTAGGTAAGCTGTAAGTAATCTGCTACGATGAAGTCATGCTCACAATGAACAATCATTACTATGTAGTTAGGCTCACTAAAATTGATGGCTTGCATCTGCAATATTTCAATCCTTATGCTCATGCAAATTAACCTTTTTCAGATCAGTGCAGTACAATCCAACTTTTGATTATTGATACGTAGTCTTCAGTTTTCAACTGATCAATACAAGAACCTTAATTGTAAGTCTCATCTTTTGTACTTGACTTTGTGTATACATTATATATTGACAAGGAACATGGAAAGTTTCAAATTGCTGTCAGATATATGTTTCCTAAGTTTGATTATTTGTTTAATCTTGCAGCTAATAATCGCCATTGATCTCAGCTAAACACCCCTTATATAATTGTTTAGCGGCTATTTATCTAGAATGTAAGAAGAAAAAAAAGGGGGCCTTGTTTAATGGCACTAACTGCACATTGGTAATATATCATACTATTAGGTAAATATTTACTGATGTACTTTACACTCCTATTATGCAAATGCTAAGTTACAATATGTACTTTACACTCCTATTATGCAAACGCTCTAGGCATATATCTTTTTTGAACACATATATTTTTCACAAGAGGTAGTAGTTAGCAGGTGATAAACTGATAACAAGATAGCAGCAAGGCATGGATTGAGCGATTAAGCTTCATTTAAGACTGTACAGCACCTTCGCCACACACAACCGTCGTTCAAGCAAGCGTCGTCATCGTCTTAGAGCGAGCAAGTGAACGGTGGGTTCAGGGTCATCGCTCAGTGGGTTCAGGGTCAGTGCCGAGACGGCTCGTGCTGACCAACGGTGTCGCCGCTGCCGTCATCATCACCATCACCGACCTCTTCTCTCAGGTGGGGTTCCTGTACCTTCTCACTCGGTCGGCAGTAAAAATCCATAATTTTTTTTACTCTCCCTATTCTTGCCTGGAACCATGGCTTGGTTTGTGATATGAATCTTTATCTATGTTAATTTGTCTCAGAGACATAAGAAATGTGTTTATAAATATAGCGCCGAGGCGGCTCATGCTAACCAACGGCGTCGCCGCCGCTGCCATCATCACCGTGACTGACCTCTCCTCTCAGGTGGGGTTCATGTACCTTCTTACTCGGTCGGCAGTAAAAATCCATATTATTTTACTCTCCCTGTTCTTGCCTGGAATCGCAGCTTGGTTTGTGATATGAAGCTTTATCTCTGTTAATTTGTCTCAGTGGCATAAGATGTGTATTTATCTCATGTTCAATTATGCTAGGGGCCTTTGATCTGTCACTAACCTGAGTCATGGCCTATATTTTATTGCCACACATCAAATCGCACTGGGAATTTATCTGCAAATTTGTTTTGCTATATTGATGTCATGAGATAGGTACTGCCATTAAGTACTTGGCGTTTATTTCTTTTGTTGATGGGGGATAAAATATGCGTTATTTCTTTTGTTGATGGGGGATAATTGATGTCATAAGATTAGTTGATGATCTTCAATACAATAATTGCTTCAGTATAAGACTACTGTCTTCTTTGCCTTGAGCAGAATTCCTTTGACTATCCTGTTCAGGTGATGTGAGAGCGTTTTGATTCGTAGAGTATCTTCATTGCTCTGCCAGAAGTTATACTTCTGCTCAACAAAAGAGTTTGGTAAGATTTGAACGGTTGGTTGTACAGAACATGCCAGTTGATTGACGGGATGTACCCAGTTTGGAGCCCATATAACTTGTGTATTTCTTATTTGCAATTAATCCCAACATTTAAAGGTGGTGTTGAAATGGTCATGTTTGGCGTTTGAGGTTATAAATTAGTGGCGTTGTATTATGCTTTCATGCTGCTATTGACAAATCAAATTGATGTATGTTATTTCAAAACTTTGAATATAAAATCGCATTGTAAATTGGTTTCAACTCATGTTTGTTTATATTTTGTCATTTACATATGGATCAAAATGCTTCCTCCAACGGATGGCGCTTTGCCTTCAGAGATATAACTAATGTTTCTTCAAGTGTCGTGGATGTATACTATTTTATACTTCCACCCATTTCTTTATAAAATATTAAAGTTCAAATGCATAAATCATATAAAAATATTTTTTCCTAACCTGAATTTTTTTAAAAAAATATTGAAGACAAATAGAAATGCACAAATTGAAGACAAATACAAATACGCGGTCACCGGCAACGGCAACCAACAGCGCGGGAGGTGGCGGCGGACGGCGCGAAAGGCGGCGGCGTCGGCCGAAGGCGACGACGCACGTGCGGAGGGCAGCAGCGCTCACGGGAGAGAGGGAAGGAAGGAGGAGAGGGGATCCTCACCGGCGAGTATGGCGGCCGGACCGGAGGATGAAGGCGGCGGCGATGGCCTGGCAATGCGAAGGGGCGGACGAGCGGCTTCGACACCTAAGGAGAGAGCTGAGAGGGGTTAGAGCGGAGGGAAGGTGACCACGGCGCGTGAGGGGAAAGGCGCTCTGATGGGATTCCGGCAATGCGAAGCGGTGGCCGAGATGACCCACGCGGCGGCGAAGCTAACGGCGCCGGCGGCGTGGCTAGGAAGTGGCCCTAGCGGCGGCTAGTGGCTGCCGAAGGTTGGCGGCGGGCGCGGAGCTCGGGAGAGCGGTAGTAAGAGGCACGGGAGGGAGCGGCGAGAGCGGAAAATGAGGGAGGGGGCTCAGCGAGGCTTTTTATGGACGAGCGAGAGGCGAACGAGGCCGGGAGGGACCTCTATTTGGCCGGCGACGTGGGAAGGTGGGGAGGGAGAGAGAGAGAGAGAGGGATTCAAAATCGAATCCCGCCCATTTGCGGCACACACGTGAGCGGGAAAGGGGGGTGTTGGCAGCGACGTGGGTGCGGGGCGCGGGAGGGGCGGGAACGGCGGCAGCGCGGGCGGTTTTGTCGGGTCCCAAAACAAATGATTCGGAAACCGACATGTTTAGACTGTATCAAGCCCTAGATCAGTAGATTGATACAGATTAAACAATCTGGATCTTCATTGCATACGTTTGAACAAGGCTCTAGTGGATATGTTACTACAAAATATATGGGTATTTACAAACTTGTGGCTAACTAATACAGCAAGAGCTATAGAATGAACCAACTCTAATGTTTTGCTATAGAGTTAAACCATCTAACTATACTAGACTTGAAGACTAGGTTTAAAGAGAACTAACTTATGTGATTGTACTTCCGGCTTCGATAAGAACTCTAAATTGACTCTGAAAAAGGTGGGGTTGAAGCAAGGGTGAGTACAACGTACTAAGCAAGCTATTATATTCAATATGAATGTATGAAATAGTAGCATTTGAGTAGGGCTAGATTTAATTGCAGAAAGCAGAGAATGTAGAAGAAGAAAGCCTGTAATGACTTTAATGCAACAGTATTTAGTAAAATCTTGAATTAGGTTTCTAACCAAATACCATATGAGTCCCGATACTTAAATCCGTGAGCACAGCTATTCGAATAGATTCATGGTCACTTTACTGCAGTAAATGTACGCTTTACCCGCAGTCCACGACTTGCCAATATTCATTAGCTTAGTCATGGCCCAGTATTAGGTTACTAACAATTGTGGCACCTGTTCCATGAACTCTAGTCCCCATGCGCTCTGAACGTAACATTATCAGCAGCGAGAGGAGTTCTGGCGTTCCCGGGGTTTTTAGAGAGAACTGGTTGAGAGACCCTGTCATCTCAATCAGGTTTCCATAAAATCACACACAGCTCATGAGCGAAAATCAATATATTTACCTGCGCCTTGGTAAATATCATAAGATGCCCTGCTCGGCATAAGATTGCCTCCTGCGCGAGGACTTACAAAAGGAACCACTTTACAGAGGTACCATATTTTTAATTAACATAATAACTAGGTCTGTCCCCATTCTAGAAGCTGCAGTCGTACTTGTTCGTTTGACATAAATATTTGGTGGCAATCATATCGACTAGGATAGTACTAGCCACCTGGAAATCAACCAAATCTTACATACTATCCCAATCTAAGTTCATTATATTTTTTATGTAGTCTAACTAGGCAAGGCTAAGCAAAAGCTAGCATATAACTGGTTTGCTATATGTTCAGGTTATGCATTCAAAAATATGAATGGCTAATGCATAGAATAAAGATATAGAATATAGCATAATTATGCTCAAAGGGGAGGAATAATAACTTGCCTTGCTCCAACGCAAATAAATCCAAGATAGGCAACCTGATTATTCGGTCTGCGAGATGCCACAGGTTGCCATCCAAAAGACAATAGACTCTACTAAAGAAAAGAAAGAAACAAATTCAATAAAAGTCATTGAATAACAAGAAAAATGACAAAATGGGGAGAAGGGCTAGGTTTAGGGTGTAAATATCTCCTTTATAGGGTATATGGATTATTGGGCTAATATTCATGTGTAAGTTCTAAAGGGTTGAAGGCTAGAGGGGATTAAGCAACCAAGGTCGCTTAATTTTATGTGTGGGCTCGGTTGCTGAAAGGATAGGATGTATATTAGGCAATTGAACTAGTTCAACTGGTATATGGCTAGTATTGGCTGGTGGTAGGTTTAGGTAGTATTATACCTAAGGTTTAGTAGTATTTGAGCTGATCATGGAGTAAGGCAGTATTTCGGCTAGAGTTTGGTTATTTACTAGTCATTGCTGGAGTTAGGTAGCATGACGACTAGGTTTGGTTATCATTTCTAGCCGATGTCGATAGACAGCCTATCGGCTAGAAGAATAGGAGGTGGGTGTAGGTTTAGTGGGGTGAAAGTGTTACTCCGACAACCGTGAGTGGCGGCGGAGGAGCTAGGGTCACACAGAGCTCGAGAGCTAACTATGTGGTGTGCTGTGAAGGTCGAGGAAATAGTGAAGCTCCGACCACTATACGCATCGAGGCGTGAGGTGCCAGGAGCAGCACTTCGACCTTGGGTTTAGGTTTTGCCTGGCTTTACAACCAACGGTTTGACGTCGGGGATAGTAAACCGTGAACGTCCCCATGGAAGGCGTAAAGTTTCAACCGGCGGCTTTTTAGTGGCTAAAGGGTAATTGGGATAAAAGAAAATATTTGAAAAGACAAATATAAATTCAAACGGTATTTGAATAAATTCAAATAAAATAGCAAATTGGGTATCAAAATATAGGGTTTGAATTTAGATGAATTTAGGTCCAAGTTTTAGTGGAATCAGATTTACGGTTTAGGAGATATAGGCTTCTAAAGATTGGATTTGAATTAAATAGAGAAAATACAAAGAAACACTGTGCAGGGGCCCACCTGTCAAGGAATCTTCTTTTCTTTTTATTGGAGGGAAGCTCAAGCTAGTAAGCAACCTCACCTCTACGTTCCAAGATCCGGTATGGTCCCACAAAGCGTGGTTCCAACTTTGCTTTAGTTTGAAAGCGGTGTACTCCCCTGAGCTGAGTGAAATGAAGGTACACACTGTCCCCTGCTTCAAAAGTGAGCTCCCTTCGACGGTTGTCTGCGTAGCTTTTCTGCCGAGACTGGGCGATTCTCAATCTTTCCCTAACAGTTCTGACTTTCTCCTCTGCCTCATTTAAGACTTCTGTACCAAACAACTGGTGTTCCCCTGTCTGATCCCAGAAGAGCGGAGTGCGACACCTCCATCAATACAGTGCTTCAAACGGTGCCATTTGCAGACTGGCCTGGTAACTGTTGTTGTATGAGAACTCAGCATACGGCAAGCTTTTGTCCCATGCTCCACCAAAATCAAGCGCACAGGCTCTCAACATGTCCTCCAATATTTGATTGACTTGCTCGGTTTGGCCATCAGTCTGTGGATAATAGGCTGTACTGAAGTTTAGACGGGTTCCCAATTCCTCTTGCAATTTCTGCCAGAACTTTGAAGTGAACTGGCTCCCTCAATCAGATACGATCTTCTTAGGTACCCCATGTAGACACATTATTCTTGCCAAGTAAAGCTCTGCCAGCTTCTTCCCTAAATAGGTAGTATGCACCAAAATGAAGTGAGCCACTTTGATGAGTCGATCAACAACTACCCAAATAGAATCGTGCCCCGATGACGTCCTGGGCAAACCGGTGATGAAGTCCATTCCAATTTCTTCCCACATCCATTCTGGAATTTGAAGTAGTTGTAGCAAACCTGCTGGCCTTTGGTGCTCTGCCTTTACTCGCTAGCAGACGTCATAGAGTGAGACAAATTCAGCTATTTCCCTTCTCATGCTGACCCACCAGAATTTCTCTTTGAGGTCTTGGTACATCTTGGTATTGCCGGGATGAATTGAATATTGAGTTTGATGAGCTTCTGTGAGTATCAAGTGTTCCTTGTTTCTAGGTATGCACAATCTTTCTCCCATCCAGATTGCTTCGTGTTCATCTTCAGTGAAACCTCGGGCTTTTCCAACCCTCATGTTCTTTTTGAGTTTCGCTATCTCAAGATTGCTTGCTTGAGCTATGCGAACCTGCTCCACCAGTGTGGGTTGTGCCTCTGGGCAGCCACGAATCCGTGCTCAACTATACCAAGGTTTAAGTGTTCCAAATCATGTTGAACCTCACCACATAGTTGCTCTACCCATGCGACGTTCCAGTAACTCTTCCTGCTCAAGGCATCTGCAACCACATTAGCCTTATGTGGGGACACCCGATAAAGTCATGGTGCCCCACGAATACGTAACTACCCAGGATGTTCAGTTACGCATGAAATGATATAAAAACATAAACTTCGATTATACAATACTTAAGTCACTTAGTTCACAACACAACATAAATACAAACCATTACATATATGGCCTATAAAGCCTTATTTCTACAAACAGATAAACTGGTAGACTCTACCACAGGAACTGCTTGAGTGTAGGATGACCTAGAAACCATAGCTGTCCCACTCTAACGGGTCAATAGGATCTTCACAAGCATCCTCCTCCTCATGATCTGAACCCATTTATGAGTACAAAAGGT